GCGCGGTTCTCTTCATGCTTTCAACTTTATTCCAGCTTTTCATGTCATGTCAGAGGCATGCGGTCGCGACAAAGCACGCGATACTTTAGCAAGAAAATCTCTGTCGCCAGGGTCACGAACAGGATCACGACGCGGAAGTCGCGGCAGCAGTGGGAACGCGTCGGCTGTCTCGACGAAATCGAACAAATCGCCGCCGAATCAGCCGAGCAACATGTCGGAAACCGTATTGGAGAACGTCACCGTGGAAATTCTCGAGGCCAAGGCGTAGATTCGCTGGAGAACGGAAGCTGGAACAGCGCTCACGATCATCGTTGCCGTTTGTCCATTTTCCTACCAACGACGATCCCCCACAGCGAAACGATCGTCTCTCGAAGCGACTTGAGCAATCTCTCTTTCAGAACGTGCAAAATTTACTTTACACACATTTTCTATTTTCTACTTTCTCTCTCTCTTTTTTTTTTTTTTTTTTTTTTCTTTCTTTTTTGTTCCACGCGAAAAAGACTGCGGGAAGTCTTTGCGTTTTACGTCTGTTGGCTTCGGCACGACATTCAAGAATCGATTAACGTGCATTTGCGTAGTAGCCGTTTGTTGCTATTGCCGACTATACATGAATCAAAGTTCAACGAGAATAATCAAAGACGCGCAATTTGAGAAGCTTTACCGATCGCGAGATAATCATCGTTTAATTTTTGTTTGAAAGTCGCCGATTTCGGTAAAGACAATTAGACAAACTTTGGACAAATTTTACGGTATTATCGTTGAAAGGAGTTCGATGTTCAAAGTGTTTTGCAACAAAGAAATGAGGAGAAGATTCTGACGGCTGAAATCGCCTTGGGATCCTATCGGGAATCTTACCGGAGATCCTCGAAAATATAAATTCTCATAGGTCGTTTCAGGTTTTGTTGCGTTTAAAAATGGAAGACAGGAAATTGGAAGTATACATAAATTTTTCTTTTTCTCTACGAGCAAAAAAGAGGGAAGCTTAGCCTTGCGAGTCGCCTACTCGCGAGACCAAAGTTCCTCGTTTCCGATCTGTTCGTTTGCTCGTGACTCGCGTTACAGACGGGCCAATGAAATCTGAAGGCAAAACATAGCAAAGACGATTGAAGTCTCGTGCTTTCGCGCCACTTGCCCGTGAAATACGAAGCTTCTCATCGATTCGCCATGTTTTCTTTTTCTTCGATGTTTGGACCAAACAACAACGTACGTTTCACCATTAAAATGGTCACTCACGCAAAACAAGATTCATCGCTTTCAAGCTAATCAATCTCTAGACGATAGAAACGAATTCGTATTTTATAAACGACACTGTCAAATCAGTAATACTGTTATCCGATCTTTCTAACAAATGTTGTAAGTGCGAACAATCGTTTTAGACGAATGCCAGCCCCCTCAAAAAAAAAAAAAAAAAAAAAAAAAAAAAAAAAAAAAAAAAAAAA